CCTTCTTGTGAGACCCATATTAGATATCATATATTTTATTAAATTTCATCCAAATCCGTTCAGTACATTTTTTTTATTTGTTTTAAGCATTTAACTGCCAGTTGTTTAAATCTTAAGAAAATCTTACTAGAAAATAATTTCACGCGACCCTGCGGGGTTTTGAGTCTCGTCTGCTGCCTAGTCCGCTTGGAAGTTTTTCTAATAAAATTTTCTTTAGATCCGTTCAGTAGTTTCTGTGTGATTGAGTAACAAACATTCAAACTGTCATATTTAAAATATTAGTAGGATGTTCGCCGTAGTTTTGTGATCTGATAGCGCAGTTTTCGACTTTCACGGGTGTATGTAGAAGCCTTAACCGAATGAATGAATTTTTAATTAGAATATTCACAGCTGGCGCATTTTATTTTATTCCCTCAATCTTAGTCCATGATTTAAAAAAAAAACGTAAATTTACTGTATAAATACTATATATTTTCACCATGAATGTGATAATAGAAAGATTTGATGGAGTTCTCTCAAAGCATTTCAAATTATACGAAATCTTTTATGCAGAATAGGTCCTTGCTCGCTCGTGTTTTCTGTGTAAAGTATCATAAATCCTTTGTGACATATTTTCCACGAAACCACAACGTCGAAGTTAATTCTTTACCTATCCATCTCTGTGGTTACGCGTGTATACTTAGTACAGAGGCAAAACGGTATGTGTTGTTTGACTTCAGAAATGCTTGCGAAATAAAAATAAAAAATGAAACATTACTGGGCTTTACAAAAGCTTTTTAAGACAGGTAGTTGCATTATTTTGCACTTTAAGGGAATACCATGAGTGAATCGTCCAAAATATGAGCCTGTGGCTTAGACCGCGTTATTTCATCCATAGTTAAATAATATAATGACTATATGGTTAGTGTCACGTCAAATACATAGTAAATGTGTTAAATTTTGACAAATGGTTATTTTTCACTAGTATTTAAATTATAATCATATTTAACTATGAATGAAACAACGCGGTCGTGGCATTAGTAGGCTGATGATTGTGATAATAATAAATTTCTGCTTTGTGGTAAAAGAGCGCCACGTCTTATTTCTGTATGTTTGGTTAAAATCTTGTTGATACTTCAATGCAAGACTGTTTTAGAAGACTATAAAACATTGATCTATTTAGAAGCAAGAAATAAATTGGCTCGCTGCTCCCCGCGCAATCTGCGAGATGAATTATGCCTAAACTGTCTAAATTATGATCCCTATTATTTTAATATTACAGTGGAATCTAAAAATCCCTTTCTTTATTTTGTAAAATTTATTGTCTGCGTACTGGCAGCATTTATCAGGGATAAATTTATAAAGTTTGCCAACGAATTATTTTGAGTTATTAATGCATGTACACTTGTACGGTTAGATCGTGTGTGTGCCTTTCATAATCCTTATTTCATTTATATAACAAGCTGTTTCGTTTAATTTAATTTATCTGCATATCAAATTCACTAAAATATGTTCATCATCTCGGTTTTGAACTTGCAAACAAACAAACAGAAAGAGTTACATTCGCATTTAAATAAAATAATAAGATAAGATAATAATACTTTATTGCACAACAGTAACATAAATAACACGAATAAAATATAAATACAAGGCAAAACAATTACAGTTGCACAAAGGGCGGTCTTATCGCTAATCAGCGATTTCTTACAGACAACCCAATGAGCTCGAAAAAGTAGAAAGCACGATAAAAGAATGAGGGAGGTTGTGCGGAATACAAGACAAAAGTTTTGTAAGTAGTCTATTGAAAGTAAATTAAATAAACGCAAACTAAACATATAGGCATACACAAACATTCACACATATCACAATATAATGCAACACAGTACTACAACCGTAGCAATAATTATAATGACAATGATGCTCATCTGACAAGAAATGCTCCTTAACTAGGGATTTCAAACCGGCTAGAGTTTGGGCACGCCTAATCTTTTCCGGTAGAGAATTCCATAGTTGGATGGCACGTATGGTAAAGGAGTGGCTATACGCCTTGGAAAAGTTAGGAGTTGTGAAAATCAGGAAATTTTTAGATGAACGAAGCGGAAGATTGTGAGAAGAAGAAAGAAACTGAAAACTTCCTTTGAGATAGACAGAAGCTTTTGGATATAAAGAATAGATTTTGAATATATGAAATTGAAACTTTTCCATCATCATTCATCATCATCCTCCATCCTTTCCTATGAATGAAATAGGGAGATTGGGCCATGATCCACCGCGCTGGCCCATGGCCTACAATTAGTTGGTGCTAAGACTGCATATGCAGCCGGGACCAACGAATGACCGACTACTGCGAAAGTTACTTAACTTCAACGATCGCAACTGAACGCACTAACTTTCTGCGAGATCGATATCCTCATCATCATTACCAGCCTATTAACGCCACCACTGCTAGTGGAATCATGACGTCATAGGTAAAGCAGGAAGAATGGGCCGTGATCCAATCGGTTTGTACATTAGTAAGTATAGGGATGATCACGAACTTGTTTTTAATTCATCTATCATGTAGATTATTAACAGCCCGTCCCGGCTTCACACGGGTGCATAAAATACTATGGAAACATAATGCATCAACATCCGAAAAAAGAACGTGAATAAATTAACACACATTTTGAAAGTAGCTGGACTGAGTTTCTTATGTAATTTTTTTTTATGTTATAGGGGGCATACGAGCAGACGGCTCACCTGATGGTAAGTGATCACCGTCGCCCATGGACACTTGCAACACCAGGAGTATCACAAATGCGATGCCGGCCTTTAAGGAAGGAGTACGCTCTTTTTTTGAAGGTTTTTGGGTCGTATCGGTCCGGAAACAATGCTGGCGACAACATATTCCACAGTTTTGTCGTACGTGGAAAAAAATTTCGACAAAAACGCACGGTTGTGGATTGGCTATCCACGTATCAAGATGATGGGGATGAAATTTTTGTCGCGATGTACGATGGCGAAATGCAGCAGCTGGAATTAATCCGAACAATTCCTCAGAACACTCCCCGTGATAAATGCGATAGAAGATGCAGAGCGAAGCTACATCCCTACGCAAAGCCAAAGGATCAAGCTGATCGGAAAGGTCCTGGTCGTCGACTATTCGAGCCGCTCTGCGCTGGATGCGATCCAAAGGGAGAAGCTGGTACTGGGGTGCCCCCGTCCAAAGATGAGAGCAGTACTCCATGTGAGGCCGAACCTGTGCCTTATAAAGCTGCAGTCGGTGGGCCGGTGTAAAGTACATTCTCGATCTATTGAGCACACCAAGCTTCTTAGAGGCCAATTTGGCCTTGCTCTCTAAATGATCCCGAAACTGGACGTATTAATATTATTATAATTATTTTCCATTGCCTTTTGGAAGCCCCGTAGTCATACCGACAGACTTTTTGATAACCTAAAATAGGTTATGTCTGTGGGTATGACTACGGGGCTTCCAAAAGGCAATGGAAAATAATTATTTTCCATTGCCTTTTGGAAGCCCCGTAGTCATACCGACAGACTTTTTGATAACCTAAAATAGGTTATGTCTGTGGGTATGACTACGGGGCTTCCAAAAGGCAATGGAAAATAATTATAATAATATTAATACGTCCAGTTTTTACCATATTGTACCTATACCTATTATTTTAATAGGTATAGGTACAATATGGTAAAATTGGTTTCGAAATCGATCAAGTGGTTCAAAGATAGAATTTTACCCCTAGAGATCATGTGTCTGTGGAATGAACAGAATAAAAGAACTTATTCTTCTACAATTTCATTGAAGATTGGGTTTAGAAAATCAGTTAAGTGGTTTAAGGAACAGGATTTAACAACTTTTTTTGTAATCCTTTACAAGATTAAATAGCGAATTTTGTCTGTCATGTTAACCGGGCGCTCTGGGGTAGCTGGGACCCAGAGTGGGAAATTTGTTACTAGCGGCCAATGCGCTCCGGCTAGCCACCGGCGCTGAGGGATTACCGGGCCCCGTAGTATTACCTGGGCGTTAATAGAGGAGACATGGCGTATTTCGCCTGAGAGGCGGTGGCCTCAGTGTGGCTGAGTTCACGAGCGAGGAGGATTGCTGGAGGGACATAATACCCACTCCCCCAAAGATGACAACGGCTCTACGGAGAAAAGCAAGAGGAAGCTGTCGGAGGTCACTCCCCATCCTTCTTCGTACGGACCAACCCTACCGTTGAGGAAGTGCGCAGCTCTTTAGCAGGTATCGCCGAGAACGGAGAAGATGACGCAGATGCGTGAATTGTCGTCTGACCTGACAGTAGAGGAGCTCCGGGCGGCGATAAAGTCGAACGTCGACGTCGTCGACTTCCTGGCGGAACGAAACATGCCGTCGGAAGTAAAATATATGGAGGTGATGGCGGCATAGAGGCGGATTGCCGAGTACGCCAAAAAGCCGGCAGAGAAGGCGGAAGAAGCCGATAGTTTAAGGGAGGAGATGAAGCAACTGCGGAAGAAGGTGAACTCCCTGCGAGACGCGTTAAAGGGAGCGGACGAGGCAAATCGTCCCCCAGTGCAACTTCTACCACCAGAGGCCGTCGAGAAACTGAAACGCTCCCTTATTATATCCATAGGGAAGATGGTCAGCTCTTGGCTGGCTGGCTGGCTTCGCTGGAGGAGAGGTTGCCGCCGCTGGAGAGAGTAAGGCCGCCTCTGGCGGCTGATCGTGCAGAGAGGGAGCCGGGAACGACTTGGAGTGAAGTCGTCCGGGCGGAAGAAGAAGGCAATGGCTGTCTGTCCATCCATGGTGGGCACCGCAGAGGCGAAGCCCATAAGGGTCAAGAAGTGAAAGTGCAAAAAGAAGAAAGAGCCCAAGTTAAAATCGCCTGCAACTGCAGCTGTGGCTCTGAGACTCAGATCGAAGTGCCTTAAGGCCTAGGTAGCATAGCTATTAGAGCTGTATTTTATCTAGCCTGATATTTGTGCCGAGTTGATTTCTTTGTAGTATAATTATTATTTCCTTCAAATATTTATATCTTTTCTTAATTTAATCTTTCATACATTCTCAACAATGGGTTGAGTCTGGAAGCATAAAAGTTCTCCATTTCCCACTTTTGCGTGCTTGCCGTGGAGCAATCTTCTAATGTCAATCTTAATTTTTTATCAACATATTTTTTTACTTGCAAACATTTTTGCAAGTCTAGATGTCGTATATGCTTCGTCTGAAAAGAGAGACGCGTCTGTTATATTTTACATTGCTTATATTAAGCATTTACTGCAAAGTTTGCTATCTATATCCTGGATATTGTTTTTACATGGAAACCGTTTTTAACATAACTTTAACTTTTCAATTACCTTGGTATTGTATATCCATGTCTGAGAACCGGTGCGTCCCTTACAAAAATATAATGTTAATATAGAGAATAAATGTTCCAAACACTTATCCTCCCTCTTGATTTCACCATTTTTTGTATACACCCAGTACTACAATAAAAAGCAAACGTGAGTATCGCAAAATACTCTTTTGAAACGAAGTTAAAATTAAAATAAGTATATGTACACAACTACAGACAATACTCTACGAAACAACTGACGATTTTGACGGCAAAACCTTACACTTCTTTTAAGCCTAACCGCCATCCGCCAAAGTCATACACCATACGAAACATGTCCGTAAAGGAACGTGTCGTGAATGTGTAGTTACAAAATTAATGTTCCATTATTATAGTAAGGTATTAAGTTATAGAATTCAATAAGTAAGTAAAAATACTTTTAATGGGATATTACATTGACTGTCCAATTATTCCAATTATGTTTTTGTTTTTCTGCATGTTATGTTTCTCCTTCCACCTGTTAATACCTGACCAAAGCAAAATAGTAAATCATGGACTTATATAAATGAATACCTGATTACCACCTTGATGGTGACAAGGGAAAAGATTTACTCCCCATTCTTCTTTCGTCATAGATGAATCCAAGCACACTGAAAAGTTGCTAAGGCTGTATATCTGTAAGTGAATTAAAATACCTATATAGTTACTAACACACAATAGTATTATTATTATATTTTTTATGTTTTGGAATAGGAAATTACTATTGTAAGCAAAAAATGGGTAGTCAGTTCACTTCCTTATGTACGATTACAATAACTTTTATTTATGTTTATTGAACAAAATAAAGGTAATAATTCATCATCATCAGCCTATTAATGTCCCCACTGCTAGGGCACAGGCCTTCCCTATGGATGGAATAGGGAGATTGGGCCATGACCCACCACGCGGGCCCAGTGCGGATTGGTGGGCGCTAATGACTGCAGATGCAGCCGGGACCAACGGCTTAACGTGCCTTCCGAAGCACGGAGGAGCTTGAGATAGTAATTTTTGATCACCCATCCAATGACCGACCACTGTGAAAGTTATGATTTTATTTATTTTTTAAGCATTTAACTGCTAGATGTTTAAATCTAAAGAAAAGTTTACTAGAAAAAAAGTCCCGTCCGCTGCCTGGTCCGCGTGGATTTTTTTTCTAGTAAACTTTTCTTTACACTGAAAGTTGCTTAAGTTCAATGATCGCAGCCGAACGCGCTAGCCACTTGCGCCATCGAGCTCCTCCAAGCTAATAATTAACACATGTCTATAATTATATTGTATATTTGATACCTCATTGGTATTTATGCATTTTGGGATGAATACCGAACATTACTAAGATAATTTGAATGTATAGAAAATATCAAAACACTTTTACATCAAGATAATAGTTTATTTTCAATTTTCTTAAAGTCTCACTCATTCATATCCAAAAATTAACTATGTCAGGTTAGCTAACAAGCCAAGTCTAGAAAGGTCAAACTATGAATATGTTTGAAAGTTTCTGTTTGTTGATACCTGGCCACTGGCAACATAGTTATCTGGCAACTCCAACTGCGGGTAAATGTTGTCCAAATACCACTGAAATGATTTGCAATTCAGACTATTTCGAAGCTTGACGCGCTCAGACACATTGCCGTAAACACGTTTATCCTTCCCGATAGTGTCGTAGAAATATTGGGCGTATTCGTCCATCCATACCTGTGAATAAATTTATTATTTTGATATGATATGAAACCATTTTGGCCGGGCGCAAGAGCAGTTACTGTTGATCGACGACGTTGGCTTTTTTATAAGCAGAGTAATTTACAGACAGTTTCAAATATCAACATGTAGTAAAGGTATGAATAATCCGGTTCCGTAGCCCTAATAACAGCTGTTGTAATTCAAAATAAACAACTGTTGCTAAGGAACGGAACCAGATTATCCTAACATTTTCCTGTAGGTTGATACTTAGATTAAATAAAAAATGTAAAAAGGGTTAATTATTTAAGGTTCAATCAGACAGCAGGCGGGGTGGGACGACAACGCGATGCTGGCGCGATATAAAAAGTTGTAATGTATCAGGTAATATGAAATACGTCACGCAAGCCGCACGCCGTCAGTGACGGCGCTGTATACGCGCCAGCGGCGTCGGGTTACCATCCCGCCCTGCCTGCAGTCGGCCTGAACCTTTAAACTAGCTGAGTTAACTTAGTCAACATGTTGTTAGAAATCTCCCTTAGTCTAATGGTCACTCAACTCACTCTCTTGTTATTTTTCGTTGACAGATGATGTATCTTTTTACCTATTTTGAAATCAAGGAAAACCATTGAAGTTATGCATACAAACATTTTCATACACATATAAAATAAACGAACACTAGAATTTCATGTAAAAATCATTACTGCAATTTATGTTATTAAATAAAGTTTTCCATAAAGAAACTTACTTTAGTTTCCTAACATTCAATAGAAAAAGGTATTATATTAAGCGTACATTTATAAATAGCTTATTATAATCAACTTTCCCTTGTCAGAGGGGCATTAACATTACTTTGACACAAAAACGAGATACCTCCGCCAACCTCATGGAATTTCTTCTTACGGCACCGCTTTGTCCCACATAAGGGAACCTCTTTCTGAAAACATGCCCTACATGGGAGCAAGGTATTATTTCTAAAGAGCCGCCGCACATCCACGTTTTGAAAGACAGCTCCAGGTTTTCAGCACCCCAGATATCAAAACCTTCATCATAATAACCGAGCTTCTTGAAAAAATCTTTGTTTATCGCAAACAGCCCACCGGATATCGTCGGAGTTTTTATAGGCGCTGCGGGCTGGTCTCGTTTAGCTAAAACATTGCGAGGGATTGGTTTCCATTTGAATTTCAATTCCCAATTGAATCCGCCAATGTAAATTTCGTTGCTGTTTTGAGGCATATACTCGAATGTGGAATCGTGAATATCGTCTACCATAGGACTTGTGACAGTAGTAGGATCTTGTGCAATACGATCCAAAAGGGGTTCTAGCCAGCCTGAAAAAAATATCACGACAATGATTGGGTTAAAACAATATAATGCTTTAGGAATGCTAACAGAAAATTTCGTTAGTCTATTCAAAATGAAACATTTGTTATTTTCTCACTGTGTCAAGATTGATTCTGAGCCATCTACAAAAAATATGATTTAATTTTGTCTTAAATACACATACCTAGTTTAAATTTGCTATATTGATATTTCTTATTTGTTCTTTCTGATGGCCAGTAAATGTTTTCCATTCCATTTCATTTTGATTTTAATACATTAAGTTGATGGAAAATATTTGAAGTCACTTTTATGACATTAAACCTAAATTAACATCTTTACGGTAAATTATCTTTCACATTACCTTCTGTACACTCACAATGACTGTCTAGAAATATTACAACAGAAGTAGTGGCTTCTTTTGTAGCCTGTATTCTTGCTCTTATAAGACCTTCGCGTTTCGGGGATCGTTTTAAAACTACTTTAGGTAAATTACGTAAGTGTTCTTCTAAAGGTTGCTTTAAATGATCTGTAATTGCAAGCACAATCGTGAAAAATCATCATAAAATTAATTTTATAAAACTGTCTAAATTAATACTGATGCATTGTATTGTACGATCATTCAATTTGATTCCTGATCTACCATAAGCTTATTCTGTTACAACAATTTCAAAACAATAAGGTAGATATTTGCTTAAATGTGTGCTGGGAACAAACTTGTTATTTTCTGAACAATCATATTTGACGAGACAGATTTAGCCGCCTTCCTGTGACATAATTTTGACGACAAAATTATTCGAACTTTTGCCCATAGACTAAGGATTTCCGTATAAATTTACCAATGTTTATTAAAATGTCAAGAAATCGAAAGCGTTTCTGTTACATTTACGATAAACCTATAACATAATCTATTGCATTAAAAATAAAGGTTAAATTTCAAATATTATTGATTCATATTGAAACAGTTTCCTTGTTATTAGAAGGTCTAAAGTGCAATCACGCTTTCTCTACATCTTACATCACTAACACAATATATTTGTATTGAATTTTTGATTCATAAAATTCAGACGCTAAAATATCGCCAAAATGTTTTATGAAAATGTACTTACCCATAGTAGAAAAATCATCAAAGAGTATAATTTCTTTTAACAAATAACTAGGTGATCTATTTAGAATCGAATACACAGTCCTAAGCAAGGTAGACCAGGCTTCATTATGGAAACATATTATAACTGTCGCTTGCGGTAGATTCTTTGAATAGATTTGGTGTTTACACCTAAAATAGGAATTTCATAGGTATATGAGTTTTTATCGTATTGAACTTGGATATTATTATGACTACACTCAAGCCTGTAAATATACGCTTACAATACCAAAATAACAGTTGGGATTTGCATAAATCTTTGACCTTGACCTCGAAAAACTCTTATCAATTATTATATGCTATCACTTACCAATCATCTCTAACATCAAGTAAACTTCTATTTAAAGGTATGAGATCGCTAACGAATTGATTAAAAGCGTGATTTTTCCAGCCTTTTTGTATTAGATATTTCAAGGATTTTCTGATATCAGTATTGAGGTAGACACCGTTGCCGTTCGATCCTATAAAGTAATATAAATGAATATGTAATACTGGATTACGATCTAATAACATCAAATCCTTCCATTATTTTTTCGTCACGATTTTAATTTATATTTTAATGTAATAAAAAGCTACTTTATTAAATATATAAACTTTGTGTAGGCGTGATAAGGGTAGAAGTAGTGGAGGATTGTTAAAAAATACATACCGGGCGAGACCTTGTTATTTTTTATAACTGACATCTTCTCGTTTATTCCCAGAGTTTCAACTGCTTCTATTGATTGCCAAGCTACAAATTTTATGAAATACAATAATTTGTGTGCTGTCAAATCTGCGTCAGAAAATAAACTTCCAATAAAAATATCTATCTTATATCATACTACATAAAGAATTTTGTTTATTACTCTCAAATTGCCTTTTATTTTAAGTAGCCAAATTGGCATTGTCATCTCTTGAGTTTGGTTTTCCAAACTAATGTCACGTTATTTCAGATTTTGATTAACGTTATTGCTATAACTGATAGAGGCATTAACACAGGGGCAACGAAGTATACATGATACGAAAACATCTCTAACAAAGGCGCTAAAAGATGGTTCTAAACTTGTAAAACTAAACTTTAATACTAACGTGACAGAACAAAATACTTTATAGAATCAAAGGACTTGGCTAAGAAACTGCTCTTAGCGTGTATAAATATTTCACATTAGCCCGTAACTTTATAATATTTTTTCATGTCTGTTTCATAAGCAAAATGTTCTGTTTTACCAAATAAATGTACACAAAAAATATTTGTAGAAGTATATCGAAATAAACAATATTATTACTAAACTCCTTCAAACTATTTTTATAATAACAAATCACTAAAAGCCTAAAATAATAGATTTTATTATTATGATCAGGCTTGAGATAAGGCTGTTTAGTAATTAATCCTTTAATTTTTGCAAATGGACAAAATAAAACTTCACAGATTTCCTATCAGGCCGACGATAAAAAAATATTTGTTTTAAATAAACTTTTTGTGAAGATTTAATCAGAGAAATGGGAAGAAAGATTCAAAGAAAATGCAAAACTGATGACTGTAAATAACTGGCAACATCTTTTATCAACTGTGGTAAGGTAATGACAAAGTAGTTCTCATAATTTTCAAGATTGTGACTTTATCAAAAGTTCCTGAGCCTTTTTTCATAGAAATATTCAGCCATTTACCATTAAATATTACTAAGTACAGTATTTATACATTGCCAGGGCAGTCGCTCATACGAAACTTTACCATGTCCTTTTCGCTAATTAATTCACAGAATTCCAGAATCATCTAAAAATAGACTTAAAGAATGAATACGAGATTTAGCAGGTAGGTATCATTATTTTTTATATCTACGCTTAACGGACCCCTCGTGTTATCATTTTTATTTTGAAGGTTGTTGATAAACCGCAATACGTAACACATAGCTCTGAGTAAGATTGGAAATTTGGAAAACCTTTCAAAGTCAATAAGTGAAGACGATGTATCCCAATTACAATGTAGTATAGCTAATGTCTATAGCTTCCCTATTCCATTCATAGGGAAGGCCTGTGCCCTAGCAGTGGGGACATTAATAGGCTGACGATGATGATAGCTAATGGGTTAGGCTTTGTCTCGGGTAACTCAGATGCTCAGATGATATTTCTACTTGGCTAATCAGACGGGTCCATATATAGAAATGTAGGTCCTTCCCACCGTAACTTAGCTGAATGGATAGATGCAGGGTTGAGGTCACGAGACACCAGATCAGCTGGGTTTTCATGACCTGAAACATGCCTCCATATACGAGACGCGGTAAGTTGCTGAATCTCACTCTCAAATCTATTTACAACAAAGATTTTCAAATTAGCAGAATGCGAAGTTAACCATCCTAATATTAAGGTTGAGACAGTCCAGTAAAAATTGAATCTATGTTGCACCGGAGTACCTTAATAACCTGTGTGCTTAATCTTGCTGAAAGCAATTCGTTGTTTCGGCTGTGCGTTGATGAGTCAGCCAGTCTGTCAGTGTATTCTTTTCTCTATTTATATAGTAGTATAGATTTGAAAAGATAAATAGCAATTATTGTAGATTATTATATTTTCGGCCGTCCGCGATTATGTCCACCTGTACTTTACTTTTTTGATAATCCCCTAGGAACCTAACACTTTTGCGAGATGGAAAGTATCCTTAGTCTTAATCCAGTTCATAAACTTTAAGCGTACCAAATTTTATCCAAATCCGTTCAGTAGTTTTCACATTCCAACCAACATAAAAAATCTCTGTACTTAATTTGATATTATACTATTATAGCAACGTTTTAAAAACTGGCTGCTGGTTGCATAATACTTTTTCCCCGAGCTTGTTTATGCGCAAACACATAACGAAATTATTTCACTTATATATGATAAGATACCCCTGTTAGCTTTTTACTTCTGTATTTTACACCACTTTATCATACAGTAATACATTTTTATTGTAAAAATACAATAATTTCTTTGATTTAAGTAAGCAAAATGACGAGAGCCTCTGTCACTGATAGACTGATCGGCGTGCTGACTCTACTTTTTTCGCTCCGCCTTCTTGAATACAGTTGGAGTGTAACCCCTTTTTAGTGCAGTTCGTGTTCTTTATGGGGGGGCACGGTAGTGGCCCCGACAAGTCAAGCGCGAAGCAAACACTGCCGTACCATCCTTTACTGGAACCATTACGCCGCATTTTCAGGCCCCTATTTGAGAACCTCTGGATAAGACCAGAACGCTGATTTTTTGAATTTTCGTCATCCAGTAAGCTATAGTAACATACTTCAAATCCAAAATTTCAAGTCTGTAGGTCATTTAATTCCGAAGTTAAGCGAAAGCAAAGTTTCGCATTTATGACACTCACTCACTCATGATCATCAGAATAGAACTAGTACTTCCCATAAACTCAGAGAGCTGAAATTTGGTACAGAGTTAGGGTTTAATGGCCACATAAAGGGAAAACTATAAACACTAGGATAATGGAAGATCTGGAGTACCTGGTGACTTTGATTAGAAAATACAAGAGCCCAACCAAACTATTAGAAGAGATCGACATACCGCCTTTACAAAAAATATTCAACTTGATGGGTCAAAAATCGAAGGTCTGAAGTATCTGATGCAGAACCCACAGCTGGTCTCAGCCGTATTAGAGATATGGTAATGCCCCCTTCTACTATTGGTACACAAAAAAATCGACTGTTATTGCAAAAATCCAGCGTAGTGGTACACATCTTTTAATTTAGTCTAGCCTATAGCGTCCCACTGCTGGGCGAATGCTTCCCCTTCTACTTTTAATACGCATATAAATAAAATAAAGAAATAAAATTAAAGGAAAACTCTGGATAACACTAGACTGGCTTTCATACTTGTACTTACGAGTTTACAAGAAAAAATAGTCGAACGATTAACTTTATTCTACTCGAACATTACACAAATATAAAAAATTAATTAGACTTAAATATTAATTTCGCTCAAAATTTGGTCAAAATATAATGCATTGGACTAAAAGTGGTGGTGATACCAAGGCCTAAGTCTAAAAAATAACCTCATGGACATTGGCACCTCCATATTCTCTTGTGGCCAAGCCTACGTGGCGCTTTCACGAGTAACCAATCTTCATGGGGTGCACCTCATAAATGTTGACTTCAAGAGTATAAAATCTCAAGCTTCAGCGATCACCGAATACAACCGGCTTAGGCGTAAATACCGCGAATGGGCAATACGAAAAACTGTTGCTAATGTTTAAGAATCAGAACCGGAAAAAAAGAAAAGAAAGATTTGTAATAATAAAAAGACTACTCCTAAAAAGGAACAAAATGTGTCCAATAAGAAAATCAAATAAAATAAATCAATATAAATACAAAAGAAGTGAAATTCCACCCAAACATTCTGTAAAAAACTAGCCAAGTCTCGATGGAGCTGCTTGTTTACCTCTAAAAAGTAATGAAATCTAGACAAAATCGTGCCAAGTTTTAGGTTCCTTCATCTTCCAAGTCACACAATATTAACTATAATAATAAAGAAATCGCAGTAAGGAACCTTACACTTGGCACGGCTTTGTCTAGATTTCATTACTTTTTAGAGATAAACAAGCAGCTACATCGAGACTTGGCTAGTTTTTTACAGAATGTTTTTGGTGGGATCTTATTATACTTCGTTGCACTGGGGTAAATAATTCAAAGTACTGTAAGTTTTTGTTAAAATTTATTTTTCTGGTTCTGATTCAACATTGTCTTTAGCTCCCAGTAAAGAATCTTTAGTAATATTTTAAATGCAAAAGTGTCTGTTATCTCTTCACGCTTAAACCGGTAAAGCAACTTAGATGAAATGAGGCAAAGAGATAATTTAAGTCCCGGAAAAGGACGTTTGTATGGGAAACTAATTTTTATAAGCGGACGACTTCGCGGGCACCTTGTAATTAAATAAAGCTATTACACTTACCTTGAAACATTGAAATATTATGCGTTGTTGTGTCATATTCATATCTGTTGGTGAAGGCATCTAAAGCTTGTTCATATAATTGATTTTCATTCATCAACATCAAAGATCCCGATTTGTAATCCCTCAAAATCGTAATGAGTGACAGCAACCAAATTGCAAGTATTAAAGCTAATATTTTCAATGATTTTCTTATCATTATCATGTAGAGCCTTAGCACTATTGTGTGAGAATGTATTGCAGATCGATATACTGCGGAAGAACACATTGTGAAACGAGAATTATACTTCATTTGATGTTGTTATGCGAAGTGGACTTATTCTGGTATCAGTCGTTGATATTTAGCGATTTCGTATTTTTAAAGTAATTCACCTACGACGTCATCCTTTCTTACTTCCTTTGCCTCCTCATATGGACTAAAAACTAATTCAAAGAAACCGTAGTTATGATAATGTAATATTTTTATAACAATTCGGGCTTCTTATGCTGGGTACAAAGGTCTTTTATACAGGTAAATTACGTTAACAATTTAGACAAACTCTTTAACGCAGTACCAGTGTGATTTTCTGGATGCATACAACAGAAGATGCAATTAGAATTAAATTTGTATGTTTAAATTACTCAATGTATGATGCCAGTACTACGCTTGGCTATTTCTGTTTGCTATTTGTTAACTTGACATCAGACTGTCCTTTTTTATTCCTTAAAAAGCGTGATAAAACCAGGCTGTTGTCAAGTTTACAAATAGCGAATATAAAAGCCAAGTGTAGTGCTGACAGGAGATGTTTTCTAATATTCATTAATTATACGGATTTGATCCTTAGCCAACCCACTGCTCACTACAGATGAAAGAACATTTATATAAACTGATGATTGCCTATTTACTGAAACTTGACCCTTTAACTTTAAATGATTGTTAGCATTTTTATAATGTTAGCATTTTTTACAGATCGGTCAATAGTACAGTTATTGTTTTTATCTTAGTTTGTCTATGCTAAATCACGCCACATCACCTTACCTCCCTACCATCTTATCACGTGACGTGAAGGGGGGACGGACTAGCGAGTGGAGCGGTCATAAATACGGTATTCAGTCGAGAGCCTTCGTCGTGAATAGTGGTCCAAAATTTAACGTGGTGTTGCTGCTAAATATTCTTGTTATAATAATTTTAGTTTATATTACAGTAAAGTACAAGTTGAATAAAGCAAGTGGAAAATTAACATTGTGGTTTAACTTCTGGAAACTAATCTAATAGTTTCAGAAGCGGGATCGACTGAGAATATCCTGATATTCTCACTACGCCCAGAAAAAAAAACGCAAGTTATTTTTTATTTTATTTTTTTTCTCATTCATAAGTGCTAATTTCATAACTCCTATATTTAAAGTTTCAAGAACGTCACATTTTTTATTATTATTATTATTTTACATGATCATACACGTCCCAATAATGCTTCTGCATGTATCCTGCCAGGGCTACTCCCTGGGGTTACGTGTAGTTGCTGTAAAAATACACACCCTACTGGGGCTACTCTCTGGGAGTGTGTAAATGAAGTTATAATCTTATTGTTTCTCTTGAATACTTTTGCATTAATTAATAGTAACCTCCAGAGGCTATTGCCTGGGGTATGTGTAATTGTTGTCCAAATGCACACCATATTGGGACTTCTCTCAAAGGGTGTGTAAATGTGATTATATATATATATATATATATATATATATATATATATATTTTCTTCTTGAATACTTCGTGGGCTACACTGAGTTTGCATTAATGTGGCCATTGTGTAATTGAACACTGAGATATGATATAGCACTTCTCTATAAAGTATCTAATCAATGCACAATATATCTAATCATTTTGCATAAGAGTCCTTTCACATTTTTTGCAAAAAACTAGCCTCGAGCGCCTCGTTTACCCCCTTAGAGAGATTTTGACTATTTCCAATAGAAGTAAACAGTAGATTTATTCTTCCTATTGTAAGTTAATGTAGACTATTTGCTTTTTTTTGTACTGATCGTTCTACTGCAGCTAGTTTACGGAAAAAACGATAATATGCACAACTTCAAACGCCCCAATATCTCAAAAAAAAATTGATCAAATTAATTACTACGACATCAGAAATATGTTTTTGTTGTAACATAATGTATGAGAATTTTAATTTTCCATATCATTATGGTTTCTGGTTTAAAACATTTATTTCTCAAAACACAACACAAAATTCACTTACATGAGAAAACAAAAGAATAAATAATCCAGTACGTGTATATTTAGTTGGACATGCACACACTTATATCACAAATCACTATTGAAAAATGTTTTTTTTTACTATAACTGTTAATAATTTACAAATTGATGACTTAGTTCAAACAATGCATATAAATATTTGTTACGCAAACATCTGTAAAATGTGGGTAGTCCGTTTTCTGTAAGAGAAATCAAGTCTATATTACGTATCGAAATCCGTTTGCTATCAATAGCCGATACAAATTGCCTTCAGAATGATGTTAAGTTTTTTATATGACGGCTGAGCTAGCAGTGGAGAGAAAGGACGCCATATTTTATGATATACGCATATATACATACATCTTATGCACTATTAAATTTATATATGTTTTTAAGTAATTTTTATTAATGATTTGATAATAAGGCATTTGATATTGTTGTTAAAATGATATTGAATTATAATAGAATTACTATCAAAAACTTTCATAAAACTAATCTACCATCATTGAACTACTGAAATATCTATATTTTTTTATAATTAGTTCATTACTAATTACTTTATAAGACTCGAAATATCTCCCGTGAAATGCAATATATACTAGTGCAAATCTACCTACGCGCCGATCAGTACGGCAGTGGCGCAATTTTGTAAAAGGGCTCTTAATATTTTTTTTCATCTGACTGGGGACTACCCTATGTGCTCAGATGTTATTTTTACTCATGTACATGTTACCTTATCTTCTAAGCGTGTTTTCATTATATAAGGCTGTTCTAATTTCATCCAGATTGAATGTGGTCAGTTGTCCCTTCGTACTCTACGAAAAATGACTTATTTTTTATGTACGCGAAATAATGTCCGTTTCAGATATGGAGGAATACAATAGAAACGGCTGTGAAGGTAGACAGACGTTTGAATCATTTAATGACCTAGGAGTGCCTGGTATGGGCCGAGGTCTACGTAATGCGGACGACCTAGGAGTGCCTGGTATAGGCCGAGGTCTAAGTAATGCGGATGACCTAGGAGTGCCTGGTATGGACCGAGGTCTACGTAATATTTTTTTTTGTTATCAAGGTATTAATTTGTACAATAAACTTAATAAAGAACTAATGTTATATCCGTTAACAGTAGGAGATTGTAAAAAAATTGTAAAAGACTGAGTTCAGGCATTAAGCTATTATTCAGACACAGAAAATCTACTTAGCCATCTAAAATAAATTCTGTTAAGTGATCAAATTTTTGCTTATAATAAAAAAATAATTAACTACCATGCATTTATAAACGTTTCTGTTTATCTCTCAACCTTTAATTTTTTGTTTTTGTATTTACCATGAATAAATATTATGTGTATACAGGTTCAATATGGTTATGAAGAACATTGTTATGTATAGATTATTTTCCAGGGGTAAGGACCTGGTGATCCGTAGTACAGGTTAACGCCGGTTTCGGACACCAGCTTCTTACAACGCCCAATAATATTACTTAAGTGTTGCTTAACCTGTATTTTATGTGCTTCAATTGTTGTAAGAACAAATAAATAAATTTATTATATTATTATTATTATATTAATGCGGACGACCTAGGAGTGCCTGGTATGGGCCGAGGTCTGCGCAATGCGGAAGGCCTAGGAGTGCCTGGTATGGGCCGAGGTCTACGCAATGCGGAAGACCTAGGAGTGCCTGGTATGGGCCGAGGTCTAAGGAATGTGGATGACCTAGGAGTGCCTGGTATGGGCCGAGGTCTACGCAATGCGGATGACCTAGGAGTGCCTGGTATGGGCCGAGGTCTAAGCAATGCGGACGACCTAGGAGTGCCCTGTTGTAGTGGCCGAGGTCAAAATTTAGAAAGTTCTGATGAGGTTGACTAATTATTGTTGTTTGTTTTATATAAAACTTTGTAACACCTTTTGGCAAAAGCGGAGCACAGATAGGATTTATATTCTAAGAGATTCCTTACTGTTGATCTATTAACCAGGAAACCATGCTGATGAGGTGATGGAAATGGCTTGAAATGTGAGTGGAGTGTCTCATATATTAGAGATTCAAGTGGCTTGGCAAAGCGAGACAAAATACTGATGGGTCTGTAGTTGCTGATTTGCTCTCTGTCACCAGATTTATATATGGGAATAACATATGCAGTCTTCCAAAGACTAGGAGGGGTGCCACACTCTAATGACTTATTGAGAAGTATGAACAGAGGAGCGCTGGGCTCATAGCGGCGGCTCTTTATAAAGTGAGGAGGGATTTGATCTGGGCCGGCTCCTTTACCAATCAAGAGACCGTATTTCTGCTTTAATGCTATCATAGTTTATCCTTGCGTCTGGCAGAAGCAAACCACGATTGGCTGTTTTGTTAGGCGAGTAGAGATAGCAGTTATTTTTTTTTCATGGACGGAACTAAAGTGTTTCGAAAACATTTCACATATCTCCTCCACATTTGAGGATGTGACGTCGCCGTGTGTCATGGTTCGGGGTATGCCAGTGGATTTTCTTTTGTCGTTTACATATCTAAAGAAGTTTTTAACATTAAGTTTGACGGAACTTTCAACAGACTCGAGATGGGACCTATAACATTTGTTCAAAAGTAACTTGCAACGAGCACGAAGCAAGTCAAGGGAGTCATAATCACGAGGGTTACCATATTTTTTGTACCGCCTGTGATACTTGAGTTTTTCATTCATACAACGAATCAGTGCGGGACTAAGCCAGAAAGGAAATTTATTGGATCTATTGCTCGCTAAGGGTGTATGTTTATAAATGATTTGATTCAATATCTCGTGGAACTTACTGACAGAGTCATCAATGTTTGCACGGGCCAAGTACTCATTCCAGTTTACAGAGTTCGGTTCATCACGAATATTAGCAGGATTGCATTTGTAGAAATTGGGTCTCTTACTGCGGGCTCGCGAGATCACATTAGAGGTTTG